TTTTCACGGGCTTTCATTTGGTATAAAATTCATCATATCTCCGATTTAGAATTATAGCGTTACTCCCCTTGAATAATATTATTTATCACCCTGTATGGTTTAATGGTACTCAAAGTAATATGCTCACTCGTATATCTTCAGGATCCATATCTCGAATGTTCAATTCACCAAATTCAACATCACCATTTGACTGTAATTTTGTAACAAAATCTGAAGTTTCAAAACCATCAACCACAGAACGAAATCCTAAAATAGAACAGATTTGTGGAAAAAAAGGTCTACATTAAAAGAAAAAATTTCTTATTTACTATGTTCTCGATTGGGATGGTCGTCACTGGAAGGGTAAAAGATGTAACATAACTGAAAGTGAAAGAGATAGTTGGTAAATTGAAAATTATTATCTGATGAATTACACTACCTTTGTACAGAATATGAGAACAAGCATACAAGTAACGGTTGTGTGGCAACGAATAAGTGATAAAATGAATAAAACATCAGGATTTGCTGTTGACCATAGACAGTCTCTACAATATTAAATAAAAATTGTATATAAACCTACAGATTGTTTGAACGTTTTACTGAATATACCTGATTATGTGTAATAACGTAGAAAATATCATTTCACAAGCAATACTAATTGTAATTAATTTCCTCTCATGATATTCGGATGGTGCTGTTCTTGTACTATATATAAAACGGATTCCAACGCAGAGACAAGTAAATTCAGCTAAAATATTTAAAAAATAATGTATTATATTAGTACAAAAAAAAAATGTCGGCTACTTACCAATTTGTACTAAAAAATCCCACCATCTGGGTCTGCACGCTTCAAAATATAGTTTTTCTTTTGTTAAACCTGATCCCAATAGATTATCCTGAAACTCTTTATCACTTGAATGATCAATATTTAATAATGTCCACGCTAATAAATAACCAACAATCGATACACAAATGAAGAACAGTATACGTAATATGTCTTTTTCTTTAACTTGAACACAATGAGCTTTTCGAGATTGAAATTCAGCCAACATTCTATAATAAACGAGAGAAAAATATTCGTTATTGTTGCTGAACTATCACATAAACACATACTTATAAACACGTAATATCAGTGTTCCATAAACTATCGTAAATCCTACTTCACGCAACCAAGGCGTTAATAAGCAAACAATAACATGCGGTTTAAATGCGTCGACTATGACCTTAAAAAATGAATATTATTTATAATTAATCGTCAATCTCAATACTAATATACTACAGAGAACTTTGTAATCGAAAATATCGTACGAATAGGTATCATCTATAGTACACAGTTTCGAGAAAATACTCACCGAAGCATAGAGAAGTGCCGCACCAAGTAATATTAACTCCAATAATATCCACATTGAATGTTTGATAATCTAAATAGAAAATATACATTTAGATATGCACCAGTTACGGATCAGTTATTTAACTATCTTTTTGGGGTATCCAGGAAAATTATTATAACGTGGTTATTAAGAATCGCTCACACTTGTGGAACATCTCATTTTGTAGACAAATGTTTGTTCTATGTATTTGTATGGAAGATAAACTTAAAGGTTGAAAGAGAAAAGTGTTTTTAACGAATTACTGAAGAGGCACAAACAGTTACGTAACTCGTCACAAGTTACCATGTACAGTTATGGCATTTACAAAATTCTCGTATTTTCGTCATAATTAACTTTAAACTTTTTTTGTTTTCAACAGATACATAGAACAAACATTTGTCTACAAAACGAGACGTCCCACAAGTCTGAGCGATACTTAATAACCGTGCCATAACAATTTTCCTGGATGCCCTAACACCAGTTATATAACTGGTGCATACATTATAGCAAGCACGGCTACGATAACAGGCGTTTCAAGAAACAATTCTCTAGAGTTCTCTTTAGTTTCTTGTACAATACTAAAAAGATTTTTAGACAATCCATCAATACTCACCTTTGTTTTTCTTCTTTCAAAAACGATGACAGCTAATACTGCAACGAAAAAGATAAATATCGATTGTATTCCCACTGTAACATATCTTAAAATTTTATTATATTCTGCTTGACATCCAGATGATTGATTACATATACATGCTTGTGAATTATTTGTTGTGTTCATTTCCAAATCAAAACCTTTTATGACGACGGTAACATTTCCTTTTATCGATGTACATTTACATTCATATGCACCCAATTGAAATCCGTAACCACGTAATTGAACGCACTAAGAGAAAAGAATTTTTATATGTTAAAACTAATTAGTCAAGATCAAATTAATTTACTACTTACTTCCATATCATTATAACATTTGTTTGTGCCACCAAATGGTATATTGTCTGATGCACATTGATTAATATCAACATTCGAAATGTTTACATATGTTACAAGAAAATAGCTAAATTAAAAAATGAAATTTGTTGCAATTGCATGAAAAAGAATGAAGATGTCTATACAAACATTTTTTTTCCACTCAACATAGACAAGCGCTGTTAGTTAGTATTGATTCAAATACTTGCAAAAAGAATTTCTCAGTAAAGAGACTTTTCAGCAATCTACAGATACAGAGAAAATGTGCATTTTTGTTGTAGAATTTGAGTAGACAGTTTTGTTTTCTAATTTCCTACATCCAAACACGCTCTCTATTATGAGTCATACAGAATTGTTGAAAAAGGAGCATTTGACGTTTTTCATTATGTATATTCTATATGTGCAGAAGATAGAATTGTAGAATTGTATATTCTTATTAATACAATTCTTTAAAACTATTGAAACAGAAAATATTTGTCAACACAAATATCAAACAGCACTTTATTCTCTATACGCTAGAAAGAAGACAATTTTTATATAACTTATATATGATAAATAACTGAAGAAGAGAGAAATACATGATAAGCTCAAATGTCGGTTTCCTTGAGAATATTGCTTGCCTTTCTTTCCTATTTTTAACAAAATATGTCATTTGTAAGTTTATATATGAATGTGATTCTATTTTTTTCTCCGACAGCTCTCATAAACTAGTTGTCAGTCTGTTTATACACCGTCACAAAACATTCTGTATTTTATGTGGAATACAACTTGTATTTAGCTCATTTTTCTATGCATATATATATATATATATATATCTTACATCAAAAAATCTTGGCATCTTTCGCGATATCCAAATCAACAAACGTTTTGACAAAAATTACTAGTTTTTTTGTTAAATCTAACAAGATCTTTAACTCTGAGACTTCGTATCTTTCCAGTTCGATGTTATGCTTGGCACTTTAGTTCCCACAAAAAAAAAATCATCATGACTAATTTATTGAAAATTTGCATTTTCCATAGCATTTGGTTATGATGCTTACAGCAAGTCTGTCAGAAGTTGATGATCATCCCATTGAAATTGTTATAATGCTTGTAGATATTTCTCAACAGTTTTAGCTAATTAATTAGATCTTCTCAGTTTAAGAAGACGTATCGATAGACATATTATCGACTACAGAATCGTTGGGTTCATCTCTGAGAATAGAATGATAAGTTTTTCTGCAGTAAAGTTTTGGGCCAGTTTTGAATGACAAGAAAAGGTTTTTGACAGGAAAAGTATCACAATGACTGCTATTTGTTAAGAATTAGTTTTAATACAAATATATTAATATCTCTTCCTTGCAAAATTTTAATCTACGACAATTCTTGAAGAAATGAGGCAATATCCTACCTTTCTGTTAGTGGTAAAACATAAGCCATTAAATATGCTTCAGCCTTTCTTATATCACACAGTACTGGTCCAAGCCACCATCCATCTCTCCATGGTGACCAGTCGCTTGTGGAATTTTCTCCCATAGATGAATTTAATGTTGTTGTTCTTTTATCTTTCCAATTTTTTAATGTTTCATGAGCATTTGCTGCTCCAAAGTCAAGCAAAATATTATTTTCTTTTGTTATAGAATCTTTAATATCTTCATCGAGTTCCTCATCATCATTGTCACTAATATTTGTATACAATTTATAATAACGAATTGAACTATAATGTGTAACTGAATTGTGTTCATATGTTGTTATTAGAATTGCTTTTATGTCTTTAAATTTTGATAATATTAAACGTAATTCATTCCTATATTCTTCATTTAATTTTGATATAAAAAAATCATTATTTATATTTGTCGGCATATTTAATTTTGTCTTCACTTTTGATGCTAATATTTTGATTACTTTCAATTCTCGTGTGTAAGTTTGGCTAATTAATTCAATAATTTTTTCAGCAGCTGAATTAAGTGGTAGTTTTTGATAATAATCATTGGGTACATTTAATGTACAATCGGGATCATAGGTACTTGTACGATCAGAAAATACTTTACGCACCAATGTCATATAAGAATATTTATCAGTCGAAGATGATGTAATATCATTGCCTACATGTTCAAATTGACGCTTTAATCGTGCACGCTTTGGTGCTAATGTTACATTAAATAGAGATGACGACAACGACGACGATAGCGATAGTGTTGTTGATGTTGTTATCGATTGACTTGATACAGTTGTTGTGGCTGAAAATATGCTAGCAATTATAACTACGAATAATAAACCGATAATGAAATTTGTGCATATATAAAGTACATAGAGAAACGTATTTTTCGTAAATTTTTGAATTAATGACGTATGAGATAGTTGTCTATCATCATTCGATCGTTTTAGATAGTCGACATAGTGATGATTATTGTTTTGAAACGGTAATTTCATATAGGAGATATATTTTAATAATTCATGTTGTTCTTCTTCCATCAGCACCAATTGTTTTAATAATCATCCGGTCATTGTGTCATTGCTATATTTGTTCTCATTAAAACACCGCTAGCAAAATCGACTAAAATACAAATATTAATATGACTATTTCTTAAATTGATTAAGTATCACTGAACTCCAAACGTAGAAATATGTTTTATGAAAATTGTTTGATTGAGAATCAAATTCGCATCATCTTCCACATTCTTTACACTAGAAACGGAAAGTCGCTAATCCCATTAAATCCTACTCAATTTTCTTAAAATTTAATCATAGTTCCAATCCACATTGCATCGTTTTGACTCTATGTTTCACGTATACTTCTAAGAATGAAAAGAATTTTATCACCAAAAATTTTCGAAGATAATTATGGAACTAAAAATAACTAATAAGTACAGGTGTATTTTGTTCTTTTATCTAGAAAAAATTAAACTTGTATAAATTTTTGTTTGAATATAATTTTTAAGATTCGCTGTTATAATAAAGGATCAATTATTTCAAGAAAACATAAGAATACAATTTCTTAATTTTCATCATTTGTCGACTGTACAATAAACCTGTGTAGTATTTCTTACCATAACATATTAATGACACAATAGATTGGCCAGATAAACACATACAACGAACAACAGAGCCAAATGGGAGAAATAAGATTAAAAAAAAAAGAGATCTTCTTCTGGATTTTATGTCCTCTCTTTTTTTCTTGTTGTTTTGTATTCAATATATAATTCCTGTTCCTATTCAATATTTATATGTAAATAGAATTATGTATTAGGCTTCTTTTCTTCTTCTTCATTTTTTTTGACTATGTACTAGCTATAGCTATCTATTTCTTTTATTTTTCTAACATGGTTTAATATATACCGGTTTTTGTCTAGAAAAATACAAAAAAGACGACGACGGCGCACTCTACAGCAAAATAATTGATCATTTATTTTTTGACATTTATTTGACTATCTGTAATGAATATCCATTACTCTTCTTTTTCTTCTTCTACCATTATAATCAACAAAACTCTAATTATTAAGAGAAGAAGAAATGTGCACATGTTCATTAAAACATCTATCTACATTCTAATTTATAACGTAGTATCGAGAAGGAGAGAACATTCGCGAAAATTGTGATGATGAACTATAAAAGAAAAAGAATAAGAATGTGGATTGATCATCTGCCATAGTGCGCGCACGGATAACCCCGAGGTTATTTTCTTAAAAATAAGAACGATGACTTTGATTCTCTGTCTCACGATGAATGGGCGAAAAAAAACCCAGAGAGAATAGAAAGGGGAGAAGGGTATGATGTCTCTAGAAAAATGGCCTGCATTAATTTTAATAAATGTCTATAGTACTACTGATTGATAGTTAATCATCTCTTTTGTTTCCATAGGTTTCTGTTGATCCTTGTTTGACTAACAAATTTTCAAAGTTGGTCAGTCGTCAAAAAAAGAACTGTTCATTATTTTCTATTATTTTTACTCTTCAAACGTTTACTATCATAATTATGTAATATTAGTTGATAGAATTTCTCATAAGGTACAGAGTTGTTATGTTTTCATATTTTATTAGTTTAGTGTTACTAGAAAAAGTAATCATATTTGACATAAGGTAAAAAATTCTAAAGTTCTCTTCAGAATTTTTCACTATAAATCGAATTTACCTGCAAGGTAAATCAAGGAACCATTTGATCTTCTATTTTGGATGGGGATTTATTTCGAAGTAGCTCAAGCTATTTTCTTACACAACAGAAATAGTTTGTAAAACTGAAAGAATTTTAAGAAAAACTTCAGCTAAAATTTAAAGTTCAAAAAGAACTTTTAAACGTCAAGAAATATTCCCTTTTAGATATGTATGCGAGTCAGTGAGTACTTTAAAAATAGTATCCGTATATACAACACATGAATTTATAAATATTCTGAAATTTCAGTGACAGTTTTTTTTAAAAAGTTATTTCTTATATTTTTTGTATTATTTATGAACTAAAAACTATTGCCCACGTGAAACAATCAGAAAACGTTTATACAACAAGCAAAAAATTTTATTTTTTTTACAATATAAGTAAGCGTTATGTACCAATATGATGTCAATTTAAATTTTATCAGTTAGAATGTGTTTAGAAAGTATGACTCAATATAGCTATGGCAAGCTGACTTTATCAGTTAATAGCTTTGATTTGAACTTGTTTATCTACATAATATAGCAGCTATGATGAAACAGACATCATTGTGGTAATAGAAATACTACATCATAGGGTATACGAAATTATCCATTAACTACGAAAGAATGAATTTTTCTTAGGTTTTTGTTCATAAAAAATATTGGTACTGCGTTTTTTTTCTAGTGACGTCTGCTAGAAGATTAGTCATTTCTTATTCATGTTTTACCTATATCGACTCGCTTCTTTCAACAATTAATATAATAATCTTGGAATGTTTTCTGTACAAAGAGAAGAATAGTGATGATAATAACATGATGTCGACGACAAATATTTTAACACAAGAAATGAAATCTAATACACATCAGATCAGATAGAAGAAGAATATCCATAATAATGAACCAGATCGCGCGAGTTATACGAAGTTTCTCTTCTATTTTGTTCTTTTTCTTTTTTTTGATTGAATAGTCACTCACTTTGTTATGAACGCGTCTGTACATCGTACAATCTCTTTGTAGAAGACATACAAATGACGTTTTCTGTTTTATATCTAGAAAAGTTCAAGCATATAACATACCCTTTACAAAGATAAGCTAAAATATCACAAAATTTAGAACCACTAGTGACTAATTGTCATAATAAAAATATCTTAATAATTTTCTTTTTGATTATCATGTTGTTGGCTTATGAGTGGTGCATGCGAAATACTTATCAGTATTTAATAAAAGCCTGTGAACTTTTATCTGGCTTCCGCATCGGCCTGTTTTTCCTCTATTTCCTTTTTTAGGAAAATCCTCTTTTTTTTGTCGATTTTCTTCTTTTTTCAGGAAATTGTTAGGGATCAAAAAGTGAAACTCCGCCTACATGCTAACGCTATTATATATTCTATATTATAAAATATCACAAGACCATTGTACGACTTTCTCTATGGCTAAGACCGTTCGATTTCAAAGGAAAACTTTAGAACAGCGTGGCTCAATTAAGACAGTGATTTTTTTAGTTTAAAAAACTGTTTTTTAAATGTTTGAGTGATGAACTAAAATTGCACACGTCACTTTGTACAACAATGCGATCAACGACTTTATCTTTAATGATGAATTTATTTTCTTCAACACTCGATTTTTTCTGAAATGACGCTTGGTTCTTTATAAGTCACATTACAAACTTCTCAGTCGTGATCAGTAAAGAACATTAAATCTATTTTCCAGAGAAATTAGAAAGATACATCCATAATATTCTGAGTCATATTATTCTACGTTCCGCAACAGCAGATTTTTCTAAACTCTTTGAGAGCATGAATGAACCATTCTGATTAGATTCTTGAGTTTTGAGAAAAAATTCTCAAGAGAAAACTGTTGTTGAGTAAAATTCACGTGCAATATTTGAACTTTAGGAATCATCGATTGAAAATTGAGTGCATATCAGATATTGCCCAATATACAAAAGTCTATATTTCTACTACTACTAAACTACATTCTATCGTTTTTAACGCATCATTTTTTTTCTCTTTTTTGAGGAAAATTCTCCTTAAAATTCTCCTTAAAATTTTTTTTGAAATCTCTGATTTCTCTACGTTCACTTGTCAATTAGTAGGAAAGTATCTCGTGCCTTCCGCCTGAAAAAGCGTTTCTGTCACTAATTAGTCTCACTTATACACGTACACAATTTTGTTGATAGCAAATCGATTTGGTCCTATTCCATCTTTTTTTAGACAAGACACACACTACATAAAATTATTTTATTTCTTTTTTTAGTTATAGAAAAGTGTAAATCTTGAAAACTTAGACTGATTCTTACTATGCACACAGTCCTCGACTAACTTTTCTTTCAACACACTTGAGAACATATACATCAAGCATCATCAAAATAATTCAGTGATTCAATATCCAGAAGCAGTCACTCATTTTCATTCTAATTGTCGTTCTTACATATGTTCATTTCACAAATAAGAAACAAAAACAAACGGGTTATACAATAAAAAAATAAAACTAACGTGTGGTTATTCATTAATAATTAATTTTATCCAATTCTCCCTCTTTCATCAAATAGATAAATCATAAATAATATGAATTTTAGAAACCGTAAAAGGCGAACATTCATTGTCTCCTCCCACCCCGGGAGAACGCAAAATAACGAGTGAAAGCTGATAGTCTGACTGTAATGTTCTGCTATCAAGACATGAATTCTTTTTTTCTTTGTATCATGGTCATCATGATGCGTTTAGAAAAAAGTATTGAAAAGCGGTAGGAGACGCAAAAAAAGAGAAGAAAAAAAAAAGTAGAGTACGATAAAGAACTGTCGTATGCTGCCTTATTAAACTTCATCTTCTTGATCTAGCTTAGACAGAGCAGTGTAAAAAATAACGAGACTAATATACATGCGATTATTTTTTGTCAAAGCAAAAATGTTCAACTTCGAGATTCATTTAGGTCTACTGGAAGGCCTATATCACCATATTATATAACTTTTAAGATTAATTAATAAATAACTATTTGTAATGTCTGGAGAACGCGAAAGCAGATATCGATTATAAATAGCAAAATTTGCTTATCACTCTGCTAAGAACACTGTAACACATAAAAAATTTAAGTTCTTATGTGTATAAAAAGACGATAAGTAAGCAAAAGAGTAATTGTTATTGCCCAAGAGTCCAATTGTTTTTAGCTATAATTAGTTAAATTGCTTAAATTAATTTGCTTAAAAATATAATAATTCAAGAGAAAAGAATGGTTTCTTCTTTTTCTTTTTTTGTTGAACTACTTTTTGTCTTACATTATATTACAAGTCTATGTATGTATGTGTGTGTGTGTGTGTAGATGTGTAACTAAATATTTGTCAGAAAATATCGCGACTGAACCACATTTGATGTCTTTTTATTTGAGTAAAAATAGAAAAAAAATATATATATATATAAAAATACTTACTCAAACAATTTCATCATAAATTCAAAAATATTTGCATGTGTTGTTTTTTTGTTTATATGCAACGAAATTATGTGCATAATTATCTTTCAGATAGATGAACATGTGTATATATAATAGCTATAATCGATGCTCTCCCTCTCTCTCATTCTGCCTAAGAGTCTAAAATCATCCAAGGTATAGAAGACTGAAAGAAATAAAAGAATTACTTTTGTTATTGTAATAATAATAGTAATAATAATAATAATAACTAAAAAAAATTTTTTTTTCTTTTTTCGTTCAATGATAGAACAGTCTATTCTCACACACGTTTTTTCGACTCTCTTAATGCACAAGTAAGATTATTTTTTTTTTCTACAAAATACTTTGGAGGGTGGTGGTGGTAGTAGTGGTTAGCATAGCACAGTAACCTTACACGCACACATAATAGATAATAAAATATTTTTTCTCTCACTCTTTCTCTTTTCCCATATTTTTATATAAGAGTTTCTCAGAGTTCTATACTGGCGTTTCTATTTCTTCCTAGATTCTAGGTTACGTTCCTCGATGGAAGAAAAAAATATCATTCATACAAAATAAACAAGAGAAAAAAAAAAAAAAAGAAGAAAATTCTTCTTTGTTTTTCTTATGTATTACCTAAATTTATTAACAAGCAAAGAATTTTTATTATAACATAAATCTATCTCGTAATTCTCACCGGAATTCTTCAACGGTCGCTTCCTTTAGAATTGAATGGACACAAATGTATATATATGGGTAAAATTGTTGCGCTCCTCCAGCGCAACATGGTTTTCTTCTCTTTTCTCTTCTATTTTCTTTCTTTTACTCCTCTGAATTTCTTTGTCTGGTTCTATCTTTTAACGTCCCTGTTACTGTTGTTTAGGGCTCTCTCTTTAGTAGAATATTATCTTTTCTCTGAGAAGAAAAGAGCTGTTTTTCAAGACTTTTTGCTTTCTTTCTCATTTCAATTTTTTTTTTGGACATATTAAAAAATATATATATATATATTTTTTTTTGCTGTTTTCAGAGATGAGTTACATATATTCATTGTGTATAGAAAACAAACGAAAAGAACAAAAAACCGGGAATTCTCACTCACTTTCTTTCTCTCGTATCAATGATATACGTCGATTTTTAAACGATTATCGGTAGTCTATATTAAGTATTTTCTTCTTCACGTCTCTTGTTGTTTTCGACAAAAAAAAAAGAAGAAAATTAACATCGACACATTTTAGAATCGTTGACAATTGTCTCGCACACGCACACTAACACAAATAGAGTTATACATGGTTTGTTAGGTTAAAATAGGAAAATAAAAGAACCTCAAGCATAGCATCAACAAATGAACTTAAAATCAATTTTTTTTGTTAAAGAAAATGACGCACTTTTTGAGTTATAGATATGTTCGATAAAATGATAATTATAACGCAGAGTTACACAATCGTATTTTCGACTATAACGATATATATATATATAATTTGAAAAAGAAATATAGTTTAACCGTCTTTTCTGCGTAGTTTTTCAATATTGCGAGTAGCTAATATTGTATCAAAAAAGAAAAAGAAAAAAAGACAACAGATTTTTATTTCCCATCATATATTGATGATGTAATGGCGATATATCTAAAAAAGAAAGTAGTGTATCGTGGACCCTTTAACTTGATCACTCTTTACAATTTAAGACTATAGTTTATATCCGGTAGATGGATACAATAGCTTTGTATTAAACTATGATTGGATTTTATTCTGTTGTGTGTGTAATAGCTGGAATTCAACTCTGTATCTGCTACAGTTAGAGACAAAATGTGGATTTTCTTTATTTCTCTCTTTCACTATCATAGGCATGCATTTCTGTTTATTATAGTTTTTATTATACCCAGCTTACGAGTTCCAAAACATTCTCTTACTTGTACACACGTAGAATAATCACAAGCGAGGCAGGACTAAATCTCATCTACCTCTTATTTCAACATGCATATAGTAAAACAACGGGCTGACAAAAAAATGTGATCTATGTGTTTTTTTCTTTGTAGATTATTTTATGAAATATTCGAGTTGGGTGTCTATTGAGAACGTCTAGAGTCTTTATGTGGACCATCAGTGATTCTTGCAGAGTTACTGTCGAGCTCATGTTAAGTTAATATTGATAACGATATACTCTTGTATTAAATAGAGAAAAAGCTTAACGTGAGATCATCTGTTAAATCATCTCCACATATGACACATATCCAAAATATTTCATAGGCTGATAACTTTATACACTTTATTCAGTCCCTCTCTTACCTGAACTTTTTTGTCCCAATAACCATCTATGTTTTCACATGTATAAAAACTAAGACAATATCCAAAATATGTTAATAGTAGTTTTTATACGAGTTTTATGAACTTCTTGCAAACACCCTTTCAATCAATACAGTAATCGTGTTAAAAAGATAATTGAACACCCATGCATTTGAATTATATACGGAATGCGTTGTTGATCCGATCGACAATTTTATTTCTTCTTTTTTTCATTTCCACTACACTTTCTTTTTCTTTTTTTGCTCGTCGTAGGCTCTATAGTCTATTTTTTGTCATCACATAATAGTGATTAATTTCCAATAAAAAAAAAAGTCATTCTGCAGAATATTTTAACTGGTTTCTTTCTCTGTATATTCAGACTAATTATGACTATATAGGTAGATTTAAGATGGATAAACCATGCTTTCGTTTTACTTGTCGTTTTAGTAGTTTCACTCTAGTTTCCACTATGTCAATCTTTATGGATCAAGGCCGAATTAATGTCAGAAAAATACTCATTATTATTTCAAGTGAGAACGGCTCCGAAATGAACTCAGTATACTATACTTGCTACGCAAGGAGAGAGAGAGAAAGATAGTCTACTTGATGTTTTTTTCTGCAATCGTTAAAACAGTGAAAATGACTATTTCTGGCTGAAGAGCAGTTTTATAAAAATTCTTTCGATAAAAATGTTTGTATGCCCGATGAAGAGTGGTCGAATAATTTCGCTTATACCGAATCGATTGAAATGAACAAGCCACTTATCATCAGAGAAATGAAGAAACTGTTTTTATTTCATTATATTTACGACGAATAAACACTTCGGAATCAACTATAGTCACACAGATATGAGATATTATTTTCAAAACATTGATTCTTGCTTGCTTTAGGTAAATGATTGCGGAAATCTAACATGACTTTTTTTAGACAAAATATAGAGACGAGAAAATCTTTTCATAAATAAAGTTAGCAGTGAAGACACATGACCAAAACAAAAGGAAACAGAATTTCTGCCACTTCACAATTTAAAATTTACATTCGGATAAATTTCTATGTTCAACACCGCTCTCAAATGCGGAAAATACTCATTTTTTTATATAAGATCCTTTCTATTTTAAAACTATATCAGTTATCGATTTCGAGCGTAGAAAAACTTTAACAAAACGCAATGTATTAAAGGAAAACAGAATTTTCCTTATCTATAATGTAGAGAATGATTGTATATTTTAGTTTTGACACAAAACTATCATGATATACAAAGCGAAAAGATAAAAGATAAAATTTAATAATGTGCAAATTATTTTCCAGGTACTAATTAATCTTAAGATGTTCAACTATTTCGGAGGTTCCATCTCCACAAGTAATTGTATACAGGTTGACGTTTTCCATGTATCAATTCGAATTTTCAAACTCGATCGTATCGACTAGTTAACAAAGTTCACGTCAAGGAATAAAAAGTTATTTTAATTACAGAAATATTACTAGGATAACCATAAAATCAATAATGTTTTCTCTAGTATTCAAATGCTAAATGTAGTAATTGTGATTATATTTACATCGCATTTTTATGATATAATGCGGTGCGAAGCAAAACAACATTCTAATAATAAACATTTTCTACGAGAAAAATGGGTCATTTTCTGTAACAATTATCTCAAAAACTATTGATGGTGCCCTGAAAAATGAACCGAGCGTGCAAAGCGGTGTATCTGAATTGATAAATGAGCTATTTTAAGTCTTTGTCGGTGTTCCAGTTCATAATTAAACGTTCGAAAGTAGGTGATTCGACCGTTTGCGACTTGTAATTTTTTCAAAAAAACGATAATTAATCTGAGTCATACATATTCAGGTGCATTTATAAGTGAGTACGTTTCCATACTATATGATTTACTTCATGACAATGCTCTATACGTATTCAGTCAATGATTCTAATTATGAACTGGACACTACATATATTACACACAAGTTGAACTTAAACAGTAATACTGAGACCTTATATTTCTATTAAACCCATCACTAGGAAACCATAAAACACATTGGAACAAGCACATCTCTCGCAGAGCGTGAGTGCTCGCTAGTTAGAAAATTAGTCTAAAAAAAAAGTAATAATAAAAGTAACAGCAGTCTAAAAACAAACACAAGAAGTAACAGCAGTTCAAAAACAAACACAAGTTGACATATGGTTCCGATGGTGGAAGAAGAAGGGGATCTCTTCTGATTTATTGATTTTTCATTTCTCATTCCTTGATGCCATTAAATAGCAACGGTGGTATCTACCATACTGATTGAGTATTAGGCCATTGTAGATCTGATATTCTCAAACAACTAGAATTTGGTTGCTCTTGTTACAGTTGTCACAATGGTGATCGGCCTATGGTTAATAGCAATTTAATTAAGTAGATACCCATTGTGAATTTAGTGACTAGGAACCAATTTCGTGAACCTGGGCGGAACGAGCTGAGCAAACGATGAAAAATCAGAGAAAAATGTCAGATTACAAGCTATCGAAGAAGGAAATCAATTTTATGGCAATATTACAGCTATAGCAAGAGATAAAGGTGTTTCTATATCGGTTATTACAATCAAAGGTAGGACGCATTCTTTCGTTGTGGTTCGTTTTTTGTATTTAAGAAACTTTTCTCACTCAGACACAGCATGTTTACTGCCGATAATTGGTCAAATGGCTGATGGTACTGGTGGACAAGTCACAATTGTTGACTTATTAAATATTCGAGATGAATTTGCGTCTATATTAGAACAAAAAGTTATTGCATCAAATGTTCAAGCAACATTAATTGTACATCGTGGACTTTATATTCGAAACCCGAACGATGCTTATGAAAAATTAGACAAAGCTGTACGTGATATTGGCAATGTAACAAAAGATACCGAAATAACGTTTGAATTTGGTGTGCGAAACAAACAAGGTAAATAAGAATTATTTTCCTCAACTATCCATTTTCTCTCGTTGTTGCTATTTTTTAGAATTAAAAGAGAAACAAAATATTGATTTGGATCAACTGACTCAACTACCATTTCAATTACAGGTATTATATACATCAGCCGATGGGTCCAAAGCATTGCGAGTCCTAACACAATTAAAACAAACCACAGAAAAACGTGATGTGGCTGAACAAAATGCGATACGTTCAGTTATTGCCGAAAATCATATACGGTCAACAGCAAATGATATGATGGCTTTGTCGGACGATGATGATGAAGATTATCGAGGAAGAAAGAAATATGCATCGAATGTCGTGCAAAAACAACATATTAAATATATAAAAAATCTCAGTTCAAAAATAAGCAACGATAACGATGATGAGTTTAATATGAGGTATGCATTTCTGACATAGTCAAATAAACAGGTGTTTACAGGAATGTTTGCGAAAATCTTGATTTCAGAATTGTATGACCCCTCTTTGGATCGTATAAGTAGAAACAGAGTTTCTTTTAATATCAGCTGGATGACGAAGGTTTTGAGATATCGTTGAACACTCGGCAAATGAGTGTAATAATTTGAAGCTGACGTGAAACCAATCAAAGAGCTTTTGTTTTCTTCATGTCTATTTATTTGTCTTTGGTTACTTTTGTAGACGTTGGAATAATGCTTCGGAAGGATTACATAAACATGTTATACAGTCAAAATCACGACGACAGCCAAATAGTGAAGATCAGAAACAGTCATATTTTGGACAAATTGGTGGCAAAATTTCGAAAGTTTTTAGCACAGCAGCTCCTTCGGAGGATGCCGCTCAACAAGTTGTTGCTAAATCATTGTTATCTTCGCATGCTTCACGGCGTTCATACGGCTTTTCTTCCTCCAATGTTCGATTGTTTTCGGAGAGTGACTCCTCAGAATTATATCGCTATAAAAATATAAACTCGCACTTTCTTCGTTCGTCAAGTCCGCCAGCAGAAGCTGCACGTAATGAACGTGACGAGAAGCGTATAGTGGAAGAAGAGGGTGATGATGTTGTTGTTGATGGGAAACAGAAAACAAAACGTTTCGAACCAAAAAAAAAATGAGCTAGAAAACATAAAAAATTTCCGTCTTTTTCGCTTTTGTACATGTATAGCCGGTATTTTGTGAAACTTAACTTAAAAATAAATACACCGTGTAAGTTAAAATGGATAAAAGCTATCGTAGCATTTGTTAACCTGGTTGTTTGTCGTGTCTTTTTCACCAGGATTATCAAAAAGACAGAGACATCGCTATATTGTTGTTCCCATGCATCGTGCTGGAGGAAATCGGTTTGGTACTTTAAGACTGCGGGTACAGAGTGCGCAAATAATATAGTAATAAAAGGTTATCTTGATGTTCATGAACACGGCACAGCAGAGAGAAGATCAAGTACGTGAGCCCTCATCAGACATAAGTGTCGGAGCAGTCTAAAGTGTCGACTTACAAGCCCCACTGTTTTACAAGAAAGTGAATAGCAAAATCTAAAAATAATGCAAGCATAGGCGCTAAATTGAACTGAAAGTAACAAAAACAGAAATGAGTAAATAATAAAAGCTTGTATGTATTTGAAAATCGAACTAGATATATGTTCCAACTACATATAAGTTATAATGGAAAGGAGTTCGATGAAAAGAATATATAAACACTACAAAATTTATCCGGCGTTGCCCGGTAACCCCTGTGGGTGAAGATTTTGCGGTCGCACATAGCCTACGGCCTTCCTCTTGATGAATGTGAGCCCCGTGCAAAATTTGGTTGCTCTGGGATCAAGCATGTGGATTTGTATAGCATAACAATCAAACAGACAAACAAACACTTTGTATTATAGTATAGAAGAATATTGTTTGATAAATTATGACTTCTACTTTATTATCAACTTTAAATATTGTGTAAATTTCTTATATTCTAATATTTATTGAAAATATTCAACTGATGTTTAATATTAGTTATGATCGTTAATGTATTAATTAAGAAGATTAAATTTAAACGAAAATAAACTAGACTGCAGTTGTACCGGGCTTAAGTTGCGATGTCGACAGACTCTGTCTCTGACTGAACCTACTGCTCCAAGCAGCTTTTATCAGTAGGCCCTAAGCATTGCCTTTTTGCTTTGAACTACTTATAAGATAAGAGAGCAATGAAGGGAATGAAAGGAAACGAAAGCTTATACAACCGAATTTGAATCTTTAATTGAGTAAAGAACGTGCAATAGTCAATTTTCAGTTTCCGTAGAACACTGTCCCTTTTTCAAAAGTTCTCTACGATGAGTAGTTTGTTGGATCATGCCGTTTTCTTTTCGCAAAAAAAGGTCGAAAAGAAAAAACAAAACTCCCAGCATAAATACGAAATGTCTGTTGACATAAAAACACAACTTAACTCGAAGTCATAAATACTCGCTATTGCTATGAGCGAGTATTTCATATGGTAGTTTTTTAGTAATAAAAAGTAGGAAGTTTGGAAGCTTTTCCTAAGATACGAATCAGGTTTTCTTGTGCATGTTCATTACATTATTAGTAAAGATTTTACATCGATAATCGAACAGATTATCACAGTTAAAGAAAATATAAGTTAGTCAAACGATTTAATCGATTAATAAATATCTACAATAATTTTAAGTTTTTTTACCAACAAAATCTTTTTTTGTCAAAGTAAACTTTTAATACTATGAGGAATGACTTATTACTAGATTGACTTAGCTTTTACCTTTTATAACTAAAGCAACTCTTTTAGGATGTTGGTAAATTAATTTTTAATGATACATAAAAATGTCAATTGAAAAAGAATATTTATTATATTCTGTTCATTAAATATTGTTTACTTTTTTATTTTCCTATTGTTTTTTAAATCCATAGTAACATCTAGACTGTTTGAAAAACAACGATACTCTCAAGATTGTTTAACAAGATTGATAATATTCATCCAATATTATCTGTTGATTATTCCATACCCATAAAAAGATTTCAATTTAAATATAAAAGCGTCGATCTAAATGGTGAATACTTTTAAGTGATTTTTTAAAATGATTTTTTTTAAATGATTCGATTCGAACAGTTCATCATTTGTTTTGACAAACATAAGAACTCAATGAGCATTTCGAACTAGAGAATTTAATATTCATGTTTAATGGTTGCTATAGATGGAAAAACCAATGCTCAAACATTTCAAATTTGTTATGACAGACAAGCTTGGCAATTTTATAAGAACGTAGAAAATGTTGACTTTCTAAAAACTACTATTCAATGAAGATGAAAGTCAGTTTTTGAAATAAAATCCACAAACCGTATAACATAGATTATTAAAAAAGCGTAAAGTGTTCTTTTCAAAAACGGTATAGTTAAATGACAAATAACTGTGTATGGGCATGAATATGAGCAATGTGCATCGATAAAGAGTCAAAGTGAGAACTTTTTTCAATTTTTTTCTTTCCATCAAGATTACATTTTAGAGCATCATTTTATAACGATTTTAGTCAAACTGGACAGGTTTGTTGAATTCTTATTTGACTAGGAAAATAAAACGTTTTTTAACTATCTCTGCTTTATCAAAGAAATATATTTATACTTCTATTCCGTTTTATCAATTCTTAGTGTTAATATTGACACAGACAATCGAGCTGATTCGCTAAAAGCGTCTTTTCACACATTATCTATCTCTAATTAATTGTTCTCTCTCCGTAGTGTTAAACACGGGATATTAATGAAAGTAAAGTTCAGTTGATATAATAAACGATAAGTAGGAGAACGTAATTTGTTTAATATGATGAATCAAATCAACGAAACAATAAAGAGAAAATGAATAGAAAAACTCAAACTCAACTAGTATTTTAATGACTAACGAGGAAACCTCTCCAGGTGTTAAATCACTTTTCGCTCGGGACCATTGCCGTTCGATAGGTCCTAGTGAGCAGTGAAAAAATCTATCTTGGTTTGGGTGCATGGGCCTCTGAGACTGAGATATTGAATTTTTAGTGAATTTTTCTGCAGGAGCCCAGTTTTCCAGTAAATTTATATTTTCGAATTTTGACCTGAAACTTTGCCCACAGGAAGACCTCAGCTAAACTAGCTTCCATAAAAGATTTCAGAACTTTTGAAGAAAGTCTTTCTAAGATATGAATTTTCCAAAAGATGCATGTTTTATACAGTATCTATGGAAAAGCGCCTATATCTTGAAAAGTTCATATCTCAGAAAGACTTTGTTTAAAAATTCTGAAATATTTTATGGAAGCTAGTTT